TCATAGGTGCGTGCCTTTGAAAGAGACAGCGCGTCCCCCGTCTCTTTGTTTTGCTTCTAGAGCAGTGTGATGTATGCAGCTTCCTCTACCACAGCTGCCTGTTACCACCACCATCTTACCACAGGCCCGAGGCAGCAGGACCAATTATTCAGTAACTGAAACCTCTTGAACTGTGGACCTAAAACCTTTTTCCTCCCTATTAAAAAAAGAGGAGGACCCAGGTGCCGGTGGCTCATGCCTGTAATCCTAGCTTCTCAGAAGGGTGAGATCTGAGGACCACAGTTGGAAGCCAGCTTGGGCAGGAAAGTCTGTGGAATTCTTATCTCCAATTAGAAGTGAAGCTGTGGTAGAATGCTAGCCTTGAGCAGAAAAGCTCAGAGAAAGCACCCAAGCCCTGAATTCAAGCCCACAACCAAAAAAAAAAAAAAAGGGGAGGATTCACTGCTAGAAGGTTTGCATATAACTAGAAGATGGCTACAAGCCCATATGCTTTGTCTACCAGTGTACTGACCCCAGCAGAAAGCACCATTTCCTGGCTCTGACAGGAGAACGTCAGGTTGGTTCAGCTCAGGTTAGAAAAGCACCAATCACTCTAAGCTAGGAAATCAGATATTCTAGCCAGCTGAGGTTTCATATAAGTCATAAGACTTTAAAATCAAACACTAGAATGAGGCTTGAAGAGGTGAGGTGGCTCCTGCCTGTCATCCCAGCTACTTCACAACAAAGATCTTGGGGCTGGGAAGGTGGCTCAGTGGTAGAGCGCTTGCCTTGCATGCTCAAGGCCCTGGGTTCGATTCCTCAGCACCACATAAGCAAAAAGAAAAAGCCGGAAGTGGCGCTGTGGCTCAAGTGGTAGAGCGCTAGCCTTGAGCTGAAGAGCTGAGGGACAGCGCCCAGGCCCAGAGTTCAGGCCCCACAACCGGACCCAAAAAAAAACAAAAAACAAAGATCTTGGTTTGGCAAAAAAAAAAAAAAAAAGGGGGAATCTACCTCAGCCAATAAACTGGTGTCACCCCAGCTCTGCAGGAGGCATGAGGAGGAGGATCACAATCCAGGAAGGCATAGAAAAAATCTATAGGCCCTATCCCCAAAATAACTAAAGCAAAAAGGGCTAGGGAATGGCTCAAGTGGTAGAGCACCTTGCTCAGCAAGCATGAGGCCTTAAATTCAAGCCCAGTTACCACAAAAATAAGTAAATAAAAGAGCTGGAAGTAAAATGTAGGTAATCAACTTAATTGACTTGTGAACAGCTTGGGTCCGGATTTTGAGACTTATTTTCTACCCCATAGAAGAGGCAATGGGTTTTATTACTTGTGACAAAAAATAAATACTACATGTTGGTTTTTCAAACCTATTTCCAGTCACAGCAGTCCATTGAAGTATAAGATATCCAAGAAGAGATACCAGCTTTTCTTTCTTATTTTAATAGTCCTTATCTTTGAGAGTACATAATTTAAAGTTTGCTTTTTCTTCCTAAGGAATTTAATGGGTTAAAACAGTTTTTAAGTTTATGTAATAATTCAGATAAATAAATTCAGACACTTTATTAGCTGTAATAACTCAATCAATGTATAAATGTTGAACATCAGTACAAAGCAATTGTATTTTTAATATATATTTTTATTATAAAGATAATGATTGTATTTTAAAAAAACACTTTGGCTGTAATTTTCCTATAGCCAATTATATTTAGTTATAAGAATATTGTTATGATTAAGAGGAAAGAACATTTGTAATCAAGTATAGAACACTAGATTTGTACTAAGCCCTGTGGGGAAATGAATGAGTATGAACCACCTCTCCTGCCCTCCAAAGGGCTTACAATCTCTTCTCAAGTCTTCCATTGGTTCAGCAATTGGAAAACCTTAAAAAAAAATTCCAAGGCTGAGTATGTATCTCAGTAGTAGAACACTGGCCTACCATGTACTAAGCTCTGGTGAGTCCCAGCGCTGCAAGAAAACATAAGAGCAAACATTCCATTTCAGTAAATGTTCATCTATGACTCATAAGTATTAACAGTGCTGATCTTATATTTACTACTCTATAGCAAGTGCTGGAACCTTCTCTATAACTCCAGTTATCTCCAGTGAGGAGAACCTTAAATGCTCAATGGACTTGACACTCTAATAAATACCCTGTTTTAACTAATTGTAGCAAGTTTGCAACTAAAATATATATAACAGGGCTGGGAAGGTGGCTCAGTGGTAGAGTGCCTGCCTTGCATGCATGAGGTCCTGGGTTCGATTCCTCAGTACCACATAGACAAAAAAAGCCAGAAGTGGCGCTTTGGCTCAAGTGGTAGAGTGCTAGCCTTGAGCTGAAGAGCTGAGGGACAGCGCCTAGGCCCAGAGTTCAGGCCCCATGACCGGCAAAAAAAAAAACAACTAAAATATATATAACAATCCTGCATATACATGAACATATTAACAGTGCTGCTCTTGACTAATTGAATGGTAATATTTAGATTTCACCTTTTAAAGTTTGTTGTCTGATGTTAAATGGAAATGTATGCATCTGTGACTAAGAAAAATATATAAATCTTTTCTTGCAAATATTACTTAAATTGTCATTCGTGTTATAGAGAATACCTACACAGAAACTTATTTTTTACCAAAATAAAAAAGATTTTAGTAACTGATATCCATGAAACTTGAAATTGATCCATACTGACTCATTGACTATTAGTTAAAATCAACTACTTTTGTCCTCTCATTGAACTGCTGGTGGTACAGCTATGTTTGGAAAGATATCTTTTGGCCTGTGACTTTCCATGGGGTTCTGGGGCCTAAACTATCTTTAGAAAAATGGAATGCTTGCTGGGTGCTGCTGGCTCATACCTGTAATTCTAGCTACTCAGAGGGCTGAGATCTGAGGGTCATGGTTCGAGGCTAGCCCCAGCAAGAAAGTAGGTGAGATTTTATTTCCGATTCATCACCAAAAAGCCCGAAGTGGTGCTGTGGGTCAAGTGGTAGAGTGTTAGCCTTGAGGGGAAAAAAAAGCTCAGAGACAGCACCCTGGTCCTGGAACTATACTTAACTGAACTTGAGAATTCTTGACATGAAAATGAATTTTCCTCCATTTTCCAGATAGAACTGGGGTAGTATCACACAAATTCATATTTTAAATGTATTATTTTTTAATCAATGTAAATTTGAACACTTGGTATTATTTATTCATGTGTTGATTCAACAAATAGAATACTTACTATGTTCCTAAAGAGCTAAATGCCTAAACTGAATGCTACATTAAAAAAACCAGTACTTACTCTCAATGAGATCATACAGGTCAGCCTCTATTTTCCAGGCAAGAGAGAGCACCTACTCAAGAAATCCTTTCTGGGGCTGGGAAGGTGGCTCAGTGGTAAGGTGCTTGCCTTGCATGCCTGAGGCCCTGGGTTCAATTCCCCAGCACCACATAAGCAAAAAGGAAAAAAAAGCCGGAAGTGGTGCCGTGGCTCAAGTGGTAGAGCGCTAGCCTTGAGCTGAAGAGCTGAGGGACAGCGCCCTGGGCCCAGAGTTCAGGCCCCACGACCGGACCCCAAAGAAATCCTTTCTGTTATTTAACCAAACTCCAAAATAAGATACATTAAGCTAATATTCAAATCAAAATAAAAATGATACCCTCTTATCTGTTTCCTGTATTTTTAATAATTAACCACAGGCTATATTAGTGACATTTTAATGTGAGACTTATCTAAAAGAGCCTAGTTAATTTAAGCACTTACCTTAAAATACATACTTACAAACATAGTCTACCAAATGTTTTCAGAATTGGATTCTGTTATTCATGAATTTAAGGCACTTAACAATGGATAAGTTAACTTATATTATTAGTCACAAAGTCAGTATGGGGTTTACTAAAACTCCCTTGGATTGGCTCTGGAAGAATTCTTTAAAAATTACTTTTTAAACAGGCACTGGTGGCTCACACTTGTAATCCTAACTACTCAGGAGACTGAGATCTGAGGCTCATGGTTAGAAGCCAGCCCTAGAAAGAAGGTCCATTAGACTCATATCTCAACCACCAAAACGCTGGAAGTGAAGCTGTAGCTCAAAGTGGTTGAGCACTAGCCTGGAGCAATAAAAGCTCAGGGACAGTGCCCAGGCCCTGACTTCAAGCCCCATGACCAACAAAAAACAAAAAGTTATTTCTGTGATGCATCATTTTAACAAAATATTGTGTTATTTTAAATCTTGGGGTTTTTTTTTAAAGCTATATCTACTAAAACCTAACACTAAATTGCAGTCATCTAAAAAAGAATAGGGCTAAGAAGACTCTGTGGACAATACATCTAGGACTTAATGGTGGCCACTTGTTGCCTCTGTACTACATTCAAAATCAATTCATTTAAAATTCTTTTAATGTTAGTCAAATGGATAACATTTGAAATGCCTAATGTAAGTAAAACCACTAGCTGTCTCAAAATGGCACATGGAAAATGGGGAGCCTTTCATGGTGAAACAGGCCTAATCTATCAGCACCAAAATGAAAGCATTTATTATACCTTGCTGTCTGGGAATCTAGTATTGGGTAGCCTTATAGAGAGAAAGTAATTAGGTTAAAGCTCTAAAGGTTCCTATTAACTATGATACGCCAGAAATCATAGGAATATGTTAGCCTATGATTTTTGATGGTTTTTCTTTTTATTCCATCATCATCACAACTGTATGACCTCACTACTATGAGTTCCCCAGAGTGCACTAACTTCTTTCTCTAGCCATCTAGATCTAAAGGTTTACGCTTTCTTTTCAAGGTCTCATTTTCTCTCATTTTCCATTGCCACAACGAATGAGTCACTCTTACACTCTTCAACGATCAAATGTCCCAGTTTTTACTGGCTCTGACTGTTAAGTGTATAATTATCCTAAATAACTAAGAAAACTGTCTCCAGCTTAGCAGTTTTATGGACTAATACAGACAAGAACCTAACATCATTCTCGTGGTTCCAGCAGTGTATATCTAAGCCTAGTCTTGCTATAAAACATGGAGCTGTGGCAAGGTGAGATCCATAACCTCAGCTTGTAACAGGAAGCACACCTTTCTTTCACCACCCCATCTATGGGGCTGCTGACAGATCCACAGCTTCTGTTTCCTCCTCTTTTGTTTCAGCCCCTCTGCTTGCTTTCTCCTTCTCCATCTCTGTTTCCACCTTTTCTCCTGTCTCACCTGGAAAGAAACCAAAGGAGATTTTAAGAGACACTCACCATGAACAAGAAATGATCCTGCTACGTAGCTTTCCCATGGGGCAGCCTTTGTTCTTCCTGGTGGTGGTGTTGTTTTTAATGTACTACATGATTTCGTTTTTCTTCTGTGATCCCCCACCCCTTGGTTTAATCCCCCGTTGTCATGTATTTGATTTTGCTACTTGGGTATTATATAAACATATATATGTTTATCTGAATTAGGGAAGGAAGGGAGGCGAACAAAAAAATAGTGAGACAAAGGGGGAACCAATGAAACAGCAACACTATGTTAGAAATGATCTGTATACCTTGGAGAGAAATGGGAGTAGGGAAAGAGGGAGAAAAATGAGGGAGGGGAGACAAGTTCAACAAGAAATGTACTCACTATCTTACTTATGCAACTGTAACCCCTCTGTACATCACCTTGGCAATAAAATTAAAATTAAAAAAAAAGTACTCAGACCATATATGGAATCTGAAGAACTTGGAAAAATCTAGAAATTTTAGCCTTCAATGAGTGATTCTATTCAACCATCAAACTCTAGGCTTAAAGCTTGGACTATTGGGCTGGGAATGTGACTTAGTGGTAAAGTGTTTGTGTAGCATGAGAAGCCCTGGTTCAATTCCTCAGTGTCACATAAACAGAAAAAGCCAGAAAGGGCACTGTGGCTCAAGCGGTAGAGTGCTAGCTCAGGAACAGGGACCCAGGCCCTGAGTTCAAGCCCCAGGATTGGCAATAAAAAAAAAAAAAGGTTTGGACTATAGACTATATTTCAGAAAAACTGAGCAACTGATATGCTAAATTAAAATCCCTTTATACAACTATTGAAACGATAATATTTAAAAATTAAGAAAAAGGGCTGGGAAGTTGGCTCAGTAGTAGAGTGCTTGCCTTGCATGCTCGAGGACCTGGGTTCGATTCCTCAGCACCACATATGCAGAAAAAGCTGGAAGCGGCGCTGTGGCTCAAGTGGTAGAGCACTAGCCTTGAGCTGAAGAGCTGAGGGACAGCACCTACGCCCAGAGTTCAGGCCCCATGACCAAGAAAAAAAGAGAAAGACCGAGCTTGGTGTTGGCTCACACCTGTAAGCCTACCTATACAAAAGGATGAGATTTGAGGATCAGAGCCCAGGCAGGAAAGTCCATGAGACTCTTATCTCCAATTCACCACCAAAAAGCTGGAAGTGGAGCTGTAATTCAAGTGGAAGAGCTATAGCCTTGAGACAAAAGCTCAAGGACAGTGCCTAAGCCCTGAATTCAAGCTAGAGGACCCTAACCTCCCCCGCAAAAAAAAAAAAATGCTAGAAAGCTGAACTGAGCACTGATGGAATGTCTATTCCCCAAATATAGAAGTCTTTTGCTTTGAGTCAAATGAACATCAACCAACTGACAGACTTCAATGATTGTATTAGGTACCCTGCCCTGAGAACTGGCCTCCTACAAAGCCTGTCTAAACAACATCAATCTTGGACACCTAAGTTTCACCTTCAACACACTCTTCCTCTGCATTTGTGTGGATTTCTCTGGCCATTTCCACATTTGCTGCTGTCTCTGAATTTCCCTCTGGATGTTCCGAGATTCCAATGATCCCTTCAGGTGGAATCTTCTCCATGCTTCTGGAGCCTTCAGGAGTTTTAGGGAGTGACTCATTCATTACAGGTGTTTGCACAAGGTGACTTCCATTTGGTATTGCTGGTGTCTCATTCTCTTTGGGAATTCCTAGATCTTGCAACTGCTCATCTTTTCCTGATGTTTCTGGAAGTGTCTGGTCTTCAACTGTTTCCAGTAACTCACTTTCTTCTACTATTTCTGGAGAGTTGTTCTCTTTGGTAATTGTTTCTGGATGCTGAGATTGCTCATCCTTTTCCATTGCTTGAGACTGTAGCTCTCCAGCTGTTTCCAGAACATTCTCGGCTGTCTCTAGCTTCAGGATTCCAGCAGTTTGGGGATTTTCAGGAGTTTCTCCTGCTCCAGGAGAATCCCTCTCCCTGGCTGTCCTCAAAGGCTGATCCTCAGCTTCTGCTCCTAAAGGTTCACACTCAGCATTTGCTTTCAAAGGTGGAGCCTCCACATGGCTTGTCTTTTCTTCTGCTCCTGGGGCATCATCTTTGCCAGCCAGCTGTGATGACCCAGAATCTTCCTGTCCCTCTAGAGGCTGAGACTCCTCCGTGGGTCCCAACTGTTCTGTAGTGTCCTTTTCAGGGGTGACTTCCTTCGTCAGTGGCTGTTCATAGTGGGATTGAACTCCATTAGCTGTAGGCACCACTGAAGCCTTGGGCTTCTCTAGTGGGGGACGACTCTCCCTCTGTATGCGGCCATGAAACATGGATTCACTTCCCACTGCACATGGTTTGGGTTGGGCGACGCAGGAGTCACTCTCTTCTGCAGTGGAAAAGATTTAGAGTTATTCTTTGGTTCATTCAGTTGAAAATAAATAGAAAGGCAAAAACACAACTTGCTAGTTATTCCCTTGGGAAAGTAAATGATATCAAGAAGCAGATGTCACGCCTCCAGTAACAGTATTTTTTGCTGATTAACTGGAGATAAGAGTCTCATATGAGTTTGCCTGCCTAGACTGACATCAAACCTTGATCCTGAATCTTGACCTCCTAAGTAGCAAGGATTATAGGCATGACTACTGGCACCCAGCAAAGCTAACAGTCTTTATTTTTATGATATGATTATAGCAATGTTGAAAGGGAAGGAGGAAGGAAGAGAAGAAAAAAACCTCCAAATGAATTGTACTTTCAGGACTTTTTTTCTTGTTTGGATATGTCTATTAACTCCTATATAAAAGATAAAGAAGCCAGGTGCTGGGTGGCTCATGTTTATAATCTTAGCTACTTAGGAGGCTGAAATCTGAGTTTGAAGCCAGTCTGGGCAGGAAAGTCTATGAGACTCTTATCTCCTATTAACCACCAAAAAACTATAAATAGAGCTATGGCTCAAGTGGTAGTATTAGCCTTGAGTAAAAATTCTCAGGGACAGCACTAGGCCCTGAGTTCAAGCCCCAGGACCGGCACACATGCACACACGCACACACACACAGAGACTTAAAAACAATGGCCTAAACTGTGCGCTGTGACTCACGCCTGTAATCTAACTACTCAAGAGACTGAAATCGGAGGATCACAGTTCAAGGTCAATTTCGGCAGGAAAGTCTGTATGACATTTATCTCCAATTAAATCACAGAAAAGGCCAGAAATGGTGCTATGGCTCAAGTGGTAGGGTGCTAGCCTTGAGCAAAAGGAGCTCAGGGACAGCACTCTGGCCCAGAGTTTAAGCCTTAAGTCTGGCAAAAAAAAAAAAAAAAAAAAAGCTCTACACACAAAGTGGTGAGAGATCTCACAAGGCTCTCCTAAGAGCTGAGTGTATGGAACAGCTTCTGTGAGGTCCAGGATGGCACAGGGGAACTTTGGCTAAAGGACATGGCTAGATGAGATTGCGGAGCGCCCTGTGGGTGGCGCTAATGAGATTAGACGTTACCCAGAAAGCATGAAGAGTATCAAGAACAATTCTTATAAAGAACTTATAAAAAGTGAAGAAAGAAGCAGTGCATGCTAACACAAGCTTACAGTGTTATAGTCTCAGAGACGCAGAAGGCTAAGGAAGGAGAAGTATTTGAGCCCAGGAGTCCCAGACCATATTAAGAACCAGTTGGAAGGAAGGAAGGAAGGAGAAAAGAGTGTGCGTAAATCTACATGCTTGGTACTTAGTGTATATCTCAGTTATAGAGTATGTGCTTTGCATAAACAATGACCTGGGCTCAATCCCCAACACTCCCCCCAACCGAAGAAATAAATATGCTGGTGGCTCATGCCTGCAATCCTAGCTATCCCAGAGGCTAAGATCTGAGGACTGTGGTTTGAAGCCAGCCCAGGCAGCAAAGTCCATGAAACACTTGTTTCCAATTAACCAGAGAAAAGCTGGAAGTGGAAGTTGGCTCAAGTGGTAGACCATCAGTCTAGATGAGAAAAAGCTGGGAGGGGAGGGAAGGAGAGCACCTGGCAGGAACAATTTTCTGAGATTCAGGGCACAGACAGCTTTGAGAGCCCAAAAGATGCTCTGGTAATAATTATCTTAAAGGAGCTGTGGCTCAAGTGGTAGAATACACACACACACGTGCACACACACATATGTGTGCACACAACACATCTTTGTGTAAAATTTATTTCTCCACAAATCATGCCGTAAGTTCTGAGTTGTCATCTTTTGCTCTGGCTACAACATTTATACTTATGAACAGAATGTCAATTTTGGAAAGTCTACTAAATAACCACTAAAACTTTCTGGCTCCAGATTTTACAGCTTTCAGGTTTCTCTTACCTGCAAGCTCCTAAGAGAAGTGTAATTCCTTTTTATTTGTTTGATCTCCCTGCCTTCCCTCAGCTGAAGCAATCTAGGGTCAATGTGAAACCTAGTTCTACTTCTTTGCTATGGAATCAGACAAGGGCCTGCCAGGCTGAGACCTCAGTTTCCTTATCTGTGAAATGGGGACACTCTGGTCTTTCAGGCTTGCTATGAGAATTGACAAGGAGGTGATGTGTACAGCTAGCTCCCCACAGTGTTGGCACCCCCAGGACTTTTTTGGTTGGTTGTGGTGCTTGAATTCTGGGCCTGGGCACTGTCCCTGAGCTCTTCAGCTCAAGGCAAGCACTCTACCACTTGAGCCACAGCACCACTTCTGGTTAATTTATTGGATATAAGAGTCTCATAGACTTTCCTGCCCAGGCTGGCTTTAAATTGCAATCCTCAGATCTCAGCCTCCCGAGTAGCTAGGATTACAGGCATGAGCCACTGGCGCCAGGCTATTTTCATTATTCTTAAGCCATTGTACAAAGAAATTTCAATTTAATATGTCAGTGTAAGAGTACAATGCATCTTGATTAATGTCACCCCTTCCAACACTGATAGCTTTTATACAAAAAGTGTTTCATTCCATTTGGTTTATTAATCAAGTATTTTATTTATGGATATAAATGCCTACAACAGATCAGCTCTGGTTTGGCACTGGGATTATACCAAATAACAAGATTGATCTGTTTTCTCTCTGCATGAAAATGCAAATAGCTACTTCCCTTAGAAAATGTTACTTGGTACCTATGTATAGGTACCTGCACATGATCGCTTATCCAAGCAAATCCATCTGGGCATTGAGTGCACACTTAAAATCCTAGGTCTCAGCAAGCAAAGGGAAAAGGATTTTTGAGTTCAATGACAGCCTGGGCTTCATAGTAAATCTCAAAAACACAAAAAATGCAGCAATGGTACTCTCCAGACACTATGTGGAAAATGAACTATACTACTTGTGGGTGGGAACAGGAGGAAAAAATTGGGAGACGGTAAGAGGAGTGACAGTGTCCAAAGAAATGTACTCATTACCTGACTCGTGTAACTAAAACTGCTCTATGCATCACTATTATAATAACAATTCAAAAAAAATTTAACCTCCAGGTACTGGTGGCTCACATCTGTAATCCTAACTGTTCAGGAGACTGAGATTTGAAGATTATGGTTCAAAGCCAGCCCAGACAAGAAAGTCCATGAAGACTCTTATCTCCAATAAACTACTCCAATAAAGCTGGAAGTAGAGCTGTGAGTTGACTGGTAAAGCAATAGCTTTGAGCAAAAAGATGCTCAGAGATGGTGCCCAGGCCCTGAGTTCAAGCTCCAAGACCAGCACACACACACACAAAAATCAAACACAAGAAGCAGCATCACTCAAAGTGGTAGCTCACACCTGTAATTCTAGATACTCAAGAGGTAGAGAGAGGGAAGATTGAGGTTCAGAAGAAGCCAGGCAACAAGTTATTGAAATACCTCCCCATGCTTCTCAACAAATAAGCCAGAAGTGTTGGTTTACACCTGTGATTCCAGTTACACAGGAGACAGGTAGTAGAATCCAAGGTCAGTCAGGTAAAAACATGAGGTCTACCCTACCTGAAAAACAACCTAAGGAAAAAGTGTGGAGGTGTGGCTTGAGTGTGCAGAACTATGGATTCAAATCCTAGTAACACACATACACAAGCAAAACCAAAAACAAATGACAAACCAAGAAACCAACCATCTCCATATCCTCCTGTCCCCATTAATCTGTGGATCCCATCATACTTCTTCAAAGGAGACAATGGACTACATTTCTTTTTTCTTCTTTCTTTTTTTTGTCAGTTGTGGGGCTTGAACTCAGGGCCTGAGTGCTGTCTCTGAGCCTCTTTGTGCTCAAGGCTAGTGCTCTATCACTTGAGCCACAGTGCCACTTCCAGTGGTACTTTGAGTGGTTCTTTGGAGATAAGAGTCTCACAGGGACTTTTCTGCCTGGGATGGCTTCAAACTGCAGTTCTCAGATCTCAACCTCCTGAGTAGCTAGGATTACAGGTGTGAGCAATTGGCACCCAGCTGACTATATTTCTTTTAGTACCTTAACTTAGAAAGTGGACAGCTAATTTTTTTTGTCCACCCACAGGAGACATACTATGCCTGAGCTATATTATTATGTAATAAATCCTATGGACCTAGGATTTTTTTTTCACCCCATGTGAGAAAGCAGACAAATCTGCTTTCTGAGTCCCTCATCAGATCATCCACTGCTTCAGGCTGAATGCGCTGGTGTTCATTATCTCTCTGAATTCTGTTGTTGATGGATCTATGCACAAATTCGCTGTGACAGCTGAACGAACAGCACCCTGTTGTAAGCACCATGGCTTTTGCACACAAAGAAATGAAGTATGAGTCGACGTTACAGGCGGGATTAAGGGATTAGAAGTAGAGCTAACATACCTGAAATCCACATTATGATGGATGCTTTCAACTCAGTTCATTGCCCTCATTAGAAATGAAAGGTTTCCACCCAACAAGGAGAAGACATTGGTACCCCTCACTGGGAATGGGAGGGGCAGAAGGGGTCCAGGTCTAGGCCCTTCTGCTACCATTCCCAGGTCCTTGCAGCTTTTAGGCTCTAGAAAGCAGGGGTGCAGCATAAGTCAGCCTCCAGGAGGCCACTGCCCTCCTTCTCACTGTCTTTCCGTGTTTTCTCTACGGTACTAATCCATCACGTTCCTGCCCCTCAAGCAAACACAGATCTACTAGCTATTCTCCTGGATAGTGTTGTCCCTTTCCTGCCAACCTGTGTAAAAGCATAGGCAAAAAAAAAAAAAAAAACTCAGACAGACTCCTTTCCCTTTTATTTGGTGCCCATCCTGCGACTTGAACTCAGGGCCAGGGCCCTGTCCTTGAGCTTTTTTTTTTTTTTTTTGGTCAGTCCTGGGGCTTGAACTCAGGGTCTGGGTGCTGTCCTTGAGCTTTTTCCATTCAAAGCTAGCACTCTATCACTGAGCTATAAGGCCACTCGTAATTTTCTGGTGGTTTGTTGGAGATAAGAGTTTCATGGA